CACACACACACACACACACACACACACAAACGCACGACACATACATGTAGAGTATTTGGGGGACATGGTCCCTGTTTTCCACTTAAGACATTTTCAGGTACATTATTTAATGTTACAGAGCTAAAGTATGACAGTCTGGTCTTAAGCAACAACTGATATAGTACAAGTGATGCTGCTTCATACAAAATACATCTTAAATCAGATACAATACAAAATGCATATTATTATTATTATTATTATGCACTTTACTCACACACATTGAACAACGTTAGGCGCACAACAATTTTCCAATCATTGCCACTCGTTCTTCACTGCGCTTCTCACCACACTGTTTTAGTAAATGGGGGACTGTGTCAAATGCTAAAAATAAAACTCTTTTTCGAGCTGGAATTAGGACGGAAAGGTGGGAGGAGGGGGGGGGGTATTGCTTTGAGCCTGTCTCTGTCAGCCGAGTGCCTCTCGCTACTTTCTTGCACTCTCCATGGTTGTTAAAATTCCCTCCCTAAAACACAACGAAGCAATCCTTTTTTAATTAAAAAAAATAGTAAGAGCTTTACGGCACTTGCAACACAATAAGGTCATATAAGTGCCGAAGATTAGAGGTGTTACAAGAGAGTGTTACAAGAGAGTAACTAACACAAAAAAAGAAAGAGGGGAGATAAAGACGATAGATGTTTGATTGGAAAGAAGAAGTAAACCACAACAGAGCACCCGCCAACCACCGTCGCAATCAGTTTTGTGGTCGGTCTGGATTGTGAGCAACGTATAGTTGTATTGGAGAAATTACCGGCGAACAGAACACCAAACGGTACCTTTGGGGGCTTAAAATTAAATTGGAACTAAAGATTAGAGCCGTGCTGACAATAAGTGTACTGACTGTAACTCGAGACAGGGGTCTTATAATAAAGTATTACATGTACTCATGAATAAATAATGCTTTCTCACGTTCGACTTGATCAACAGAGACGCTAAAACTGGCCCCGAAAAAGTATTGTTCATAAATTTACAGGTGCTTTTTTTTTACTGTTCTAAGGGTCGTTTTTTTTCTCCTTTTCTCCTCCTCCCCTTCCTCCTCCTCCTC